TGCCGCACACCTTTCCAGTGCAGCCATCATTCCCGGGTATGTTCTGTATTATTTTAAGGAACTTTGAGATTTATTCGTATAACTAGGACACATGTAACGCAGCCAAGTGTCCCTTTATCATTGAGGTATGATTCATTTTACCTAAGCGCCGATACTCTATGTTATTTTGAATTAATAATCGTCCAACATAAACAAATAAAGACAGATTGTGATATCTTCGTATCCTTAAGCTAACGCATGTAATAATCATTTTACAGGATAACCTGTAAGGAATAAGTTTTGAAAGAGTATTGGAAGCTTTTTCACTTCTCTCCTGTGTCCTTCTGAAATTGCCATCATTGCAATAAAGCATTATCGGCCCTGTTTACGGTAAACGAAATGCGTAAAAAGAAAAATACAAATTTGGAACAGGAAACATCAGAAGGAATATAAAATCACATATAACATTTCGATCAGTGTCGGTTTTTTTGATTTTTAAGCTAGGCTAATCAGCCGGTAAACAAATCATCCTTTTATCAACATGTTTTATAAGTGATTCTTTCATCAGGTTAATATGTCTAATTACATGTAACTAGTGATTCATACCATCATTCGTTTTGCAGAGGCGGACAAAATGACGTCGATGCCATGGCTATTTGGGATGCTACCGCGCCTTATCCAGGCCTGCTGCATATGTAAGTGTGGGGGAAATTTTATTAACAATAGAACACCAGAAGCTCAGGCTACTTCTAAAAAGAGACGATAGTCGGATTTTAAACGAAGTTATTAATAATCAAAGGTTGGGTTTATTACAATACAATATAACTGAAGCAGAAATTAGCACGGGTTATACATCCCATTTTCGAAAGCATCAAAAGTTCTTAGCCCTTCCAATCAATGTGTTTATCTTGATTCTACATTCTACGACAGGTTTCGTGTATTGAACATTGCAATGACACCAGCACAACTCTCAAGGTAAGTGCTCTTTTAATGACAGGTATTGAATAGGTTTAAAACCTTTTTGCAGTTAACTTTAGAGTACATTGCAGGACGCGAGAAGGCTGCTGTTAGAAGTGAATGGCATGCAGTCAATCTAAATAATTATTCAATGCGGATTTGGTATTGATAAGCTTTTAAATG